TTTTCAATCCAAAGAGATATCTCAGCTTCAGAGCCCCAGGCAGTTCTTACATGGTTCCCCTTCCTCTGAGCTCCAGTGCTGGGTGACACTTTGAGGGATCCAGGGACATACGAGGAGGAACTGCATTGGCTGGCATCAGGACAGGAACTTAGGGACAGCTTTCTCCCAGATGGAGGTGCTCACAGGGTTCATTGTTCCTGTGCTGGGACCTCCACTGTTGCAGAGCTGACCGGCAGCCATATCCGAGTTTCCATCAGTGTGGCCCACACTGTTCCTCCACCCAATGATTCCCTGAGACCCCACCCCACCTGATTTGCAGCTCTGCCTTCACAGCTTAGCCTCTTTTGGGCACTTCCACAGTCAACATAAGTAGCAGCCATCTGCAGGTCACTCTGTAGCTCCTGCCAGGTGGCTCCAGGCAGTGGCTGAGTTTGCACCTCCCAGGAGGCCTCAGAGCCAGTCACCCAGGGGACAGCTTCAGACCACACCAGATTATACCTCTACACATCCGCAAGTGACACACACAAGGGGCAGACTCAGACCCAGTGAGCACCAAAGCAGCTCCTGCTCCATAGTGGTGTCTCCTACACAGCAGTTCTTCCACTGTAGTCTCAGTTGGTTCTCACAGCCAATTGGCCTATAGGTCAAGTCCTCCCAGCGATACCAATAATAATCCAGGCCCAACTACAGGACGGTGCACACAGCCTACACAAGGGTGCACCTAGTGTGTGCAGTTCAGGTGACTGGGGAGGCTGGGCCACTGGGCCCTATGGGACACTTACTACACAAGGCATCTCTATCAATTCCAGGAGACACAGCCTCTCTACCTAATATACAGAAACAAACACAGGGAAGCAGCCAGATGCAGAGACAAAGAAACATGTCACAAATGAAAGAAATGGAAGCAAGCAAACTACTGGACACAGAGTTCAAAACCATGGTTATAAGAGTACTTGAGGATCTTCATAAAAATTTCAAGGATCTTAGTGAGAATGTCAAAGGCATGAAAAGGACCTTATGCATACACTAACTGAAACAAAGAATAATTTACAGGGATTCTTTTGTAGAGTAGAGGATGCCAAGAATAAAATCAGCAATTTGGAATATTGCTGATAGTATCATGAGTCAACTGTATGGTAACCGATGGACATGATACTATTGATACTATTTTTCATTTTAGAAAGCAAAAAATACCCAATTAGAAGAGCAAAAAGAAAAAAGAATCCAAAAATGTGAAGACAGTAGTAGTGTAAGGAGTGTTGGGACAACTTCAAGCATACCAATATTCTCACTATGGGGGTGCCAGGAGAAGAGAGAGAGCAAGATATTAAAAACCTATTTGATAAATAATGACAGAAAACTTCCTCTACCTGGTGAAAGAAGTAGACATAAGTCCAGGAAGCCCAGAGAGTACCAAACAAGAGGAATCCAAAGAGGACCACACCAAGACACATCATAATTAAAATGCCAAAGGTTAAAGAGAGAATCTTAAAAGCAGCAAAAGCAGTTAGCTACCTAAAAGGATGTGTTCATCTGACTATCAGCTGATCTCTCAAGGACACTCTGTAGGCCAGAAAGGGGTGGCAAGAAATATTTAAGGTGATGCAATAGCAAGGACCTACAAAACCAAGATCAGTCTACTCGGCAAAGCTATCTTTTAGAATTGAAGGTCAGATAAAGAGCTTCACAGACAAGAAAAAGCTAAAGGAATTCATCACTACCAAACCAGTATTACATGAAATGTTGAAGGGTATTTTTTAAGAAGAGGAAGAAAGTAGAAGGAAAAGAAGGAGGAAGAGGACAACAATAGGGAGGAAGAGGAAGAGGAGTTAGAGGAAGAGAAGGAAGAGGAGGACGAGAAGAAATAGAGGGAGGAGGAAAGGGAGGAGAAAGAGGAAGAAGCGAATGAGTAGGATAAAAAATATGAACAACAAAATGGCAACACATATCCTATCAACAATTGAATCTACAAATCAAAATGAATGAAAAGAAATCTAATAAAATAAACTGAATAAATTAGAATTAGAGGCATGGAAACATGGAATAGACTGACGAATCTCAAAGGGAAGGGAGGCAGGAAATTGGGAAGAAATTAACCAAAGATCTTACATGCATATATGCATTACCTATGGACACAGATAAAAGGTGGTGAAGGCCTGGGGCGGGATGGGAGCCAGGTGGAGGGGGGGAAAATGAGGGACATCTATAATACTGTCAACAATAAAGATTAAAAAATAATAATTATTTTAAAAAGATGGGACACTGACATTTGCAACAGGTATTTTGCTAAGTGAAGTTAGATGGAAAAGGACAAAAATCAGTGCTAACTTCGGCAGTACATATACTAAAATTGGAACGATACAGAGAAGATTAGCATGGCTCCTGTGAAGGATGACACAAAAAGTGGTGAAGCGTTCCATATTTAAAATAAAAAAGGACAAAAATCATATGTAGACTATTAAAAAAAGAAACAAACAGAAACCAAAAATAAACTCATAATATGGACAACAGATTGGTGGTTACCAGAGAAGAGGAAATGGGTAGAGTCAAATGTATGGTAACCGATGGACATGATACTGTTGATGGAGAACATGCTATAATACATATATAGGTATCGAGTATATTGTACACTTGAAACTTATGTTATAAACCAATATTACCTCAATTGTAAAAAACGATTGAGAAGTATTCTCTTTTCCCTAAGTCAGTGCAGAATTAAAGCTTTTTCTTCCTTAAATGTATGTTAGAATTCACCAATGAAGCCATCTGAACCTTAGTTTTCTTTTGTAGAAAGGTTTTTGATAATACCTTTCTTTGATATAAAGCTATTCAGAATTTCTATTTCATCTATATCAGTTGGGCTATATTTTTCAAGGAATTAGTTGACTTCATTTAATTCGTTGGTTTAAAGTAGTCCATAATGTTCCTTATTATCCTTTTAATGTCTGTAAGATCTTTAACATCCCCCATTTCATTTCTGATAGGGATAATTTATGTGTTTTCTTTTTTCATCCAGTTTTGCTAGAAGATTAACTTTATTAATATTCTCAAAGAACCAACTTTTGGCTTTGTTAATACATTATGAACCAGTAGTTTTATTGCTAGCTTTTACCCAGTGGCCAGATAAGTTTCTATTCAACGAGTACAAAAAACTTTTTACATACATGTTAAAGGCACACTTTAAAATTAAATACCCATTGCATTTTGAAGTTATTTATTACATACTTACAAGCTAATATCTTTTTAAAGAATGATACTTTGTAAAACACTGTGTAATATTAAGCGAGAATTCTCGTGATCTGTCTGCAATGTATTGACTCTGATTTTTGTTTTTAATATTTTCTTTCTTCAACTTACTTTGGATTTAATTTTTTTATATTTCCCAAGCTGCTGCTTTTTCCTTTCAAATATATAAATATTTAAAGTTATAATAATAATTTAGGAAATAAGTAAAATTCTACTGATTTGGCTTTTATTACTTTACTAGGGGCCCAGTACACAAAACTCATGCACTGGGGGTGGGGGGTTCCTCAGCCCAACCTGCCCTCTCTCACATACTGGGAGCCCTCAGGGGCTGTCCTACTGACGGCTTAGGCCCGCTCCCCGGGAGCAGTCTGGCCATCCTTTGTGGGAGGCAACCTGGCTGATCAGGGGAAGGCACCAGCCCCATCACCCCGCTGCTGCAGCCACTGCCAGTCACCGCAGCCACCAAGGTGTTTTCATCAATACGGACTCCAGTCCCTTCACCATGAAAAAATGACAACTTTCTTTAGGCGTTTTCAAGATGTGTCTTTTATAAGATATGCATTTCCTCCCTTCCTTCCTTCCTTCCTTCCTTCCTTCCTTCCTTCCTTCCTTCCTTCCTTCCTCCTTTTTTTTTTTTTTAACCTTCTATTGACTCTTAGAGAATGTGGAAGAGAAAGGGAAAGACAGAGAGCAACACCAAAGTGAGAGGGACACTTTGTTTGGTTGTCTCCTGCATGAGCTCTGACCTGGGCCCCGGCCAGGGAGGAGCCTGCAGCCTCGGTACATGCCCCTGATCAGAATCAAAGCCAGACCCTGTGGTTGGCAGGCCAAGGCATTCTCCACTGAGTCAAACCAGATAGGGCAGGATATGACATTTTTTTCTCCAGAAGTGTGGTGGATAAACCCTAGATCACCCTTTTGAATTCTTATTACCAGTGCACACAGAGACCTTAGCCAATGTGTTTCCTCTACAGTTCACACCAATCGTGGGCTGGGCTCTGCCCAGGCTTAAAGCCTCTGGACGTAGCTTTAGGCCTGGGCAGGGGCCCTCCGGCTCCTCTGATCAACAGTTCCACCCCTGCCCAGGCCTGCCCAGGCCAAAAGCCTCTTGGGCAGGAGCAGAGCCCCAGCTCCCTGCGATCACAGGGGGTCCGCTCCTGCTCCCTGCCACCTATCGCTGGGGATCCGCTCCTGCCCAGGCGATCAATCGCTGGGGGTCCGCTCCTGCCCAGGCGATCAATCGCTGGGGGTCCGCTCCTGCTCCCTGCCCAAAGCCTCTGGCGGAGGATTTCGGCTTGGGCAGGAGTAAACCCCCAGCTCCCTGTGATCCATTACAGAGGGTCCGCTCCTGCCCAGCCTTACCTCACAATGACCTGGGTGCCAGGATATTCCTGGAACATGGGTGCTGGGCGCCTATGTACACAAATTAACCGCCATCTTGTTTGGGTTAATTTGCAGTCACTCTGGCTATGGGTACGGTCAATTTACATGTTTGTCTATTATTAGGTAAGACTAGAGACCTGGTGCATGAAACTCATGCACAGGTAGGGTCCCTAGGCCTGGCCTGCTATCAGGGCCGATCTGTGGCGCGACCAGAGGGACGACCACTCCTTCACTGAGCATCTGCCCCCTGGTGGTCAGTGCACATCACAGCATCGTTCAGTCGATTTGCAAATTAAGCTTTTATTATGTAGAATTTCTATGGTTATTGAACCTTAAAAGAAATTCCTAAATCTTTTTTAGTGAACATTTCCTAGGAGAATCAGTAAAATCTACCCAAAAGGGAAGTATGCATATAAACCTAAAGAGTGATGATAAGGATGTTCAAAGTCTAACATTCCTGTTATATAACTCTTAGATTTTCATTCCATTCCAAGTTGGGTATGTGTTTATTCTAAGAATGCTTGGATTTTAAAAATTCTCAGTTCCTGTTTTGGATACTATGTTATAATTACAAGTGACTCATTCATCCATACTCAGGTTTTTGGATGCAAATGAAATTATGGCTTCAGTTAATTTTAATGCTAATAAGTGTATACCAACTGCGTACACTTTCTTTTTTTAAAAAATAAATCTTTATTGTTCATATTATTACAAAAGTTCCTCATTTTTCCCCCTCCACCAGGTTCCCACCCCACCCTCTGCCCTTCCCCCACCCCCCATTGTCCTCATCCATAGGTGCACAGTTTATGTTCAGTCTCTTTCTATACCCCCTTCTCCCCCTTTCCCCAAGAATCATCAGTCCAGTCCCATTCTATACCTCTGATTCTATTATATTCACTAGTTAATATTGTTCATAAGATTTTTTTTTAATTCCCTTGGTTTTTAGCTTCACGTGTTGATAGTTACATATTTGTTGTTCATAGTTTTTATCTTTATTTACTTACTTTCTCTTCTAAAAGAACCCCCTTCAGCAATTCATATAATTCTGGTTTGGCTGTGATAAACTCCTTTAGCTTTTTTTTTTATTAGTGAAGCTCTTTATCTGGCCTTTGATTCTGAGTGATAGCTTTGCTGGGTAGATTATTTTTGGCTGTAGGTTCTTACTATTCATTAACTTGAATATTTCTTGCCATTCTCATCTGGCCTGCATGGTTTCTGTTGAGAAATCAGCTGACAATCGTATGGGTGCTCCTTTATAGGTAACTACCTGCTTTGCTCTTGCTGCTTTTAATATTCTCTCTTTGTCTTTTGCTCTTGGAATTTTAATTATGATGTGTCTTGGTGTGGTCGTCTTTGGATTCCTTTTGTTTGGAGTTCTGTGCGCTTCCTGGACTTGTAAGTCTAATTCTTTCACCAGGTGAGGGAAGTTTTCTGTCACTATTTCTTTCAGTATGTTTTCGATATCTTGCTCTCTCTCATCTTCTGGGACCCCCATAATTCTGATGTTGGTTCGCTTGAAGTTATCCCAGAGGTTTCTTAAATAATCTTCAACTTTCTGGATTCTCTTGACTTCTTGCTTCTGTGGAGGAGTATCTTCTGGCTCTTTATGTTCCAAATCTTTGACTTGATTCTTGCAACTTTCCATTATGTTTTTAGGACTCTGTATAATATTTTTTAATTCAGACAATGTATTCTTTATTTCTTGTTGATCCCTTATTAGTTCTTGTTGATCCCTTATTAGTTCTTGTTGATCTCTTATTAGTTCTTATTGATCCCTTTTCATCTCCTCATAGGTCTTATCGACCTTTTCTAGGAAATTCTTAAAAAATCTTACAAGCGTGGTTTTGAACTCTATATCCAGTCTCTTCTTTTCCTCCATTTCTTTTGTTTGTGATCTGTTTCCTTGTCTTGGCATTTTCACAGCTTCCCTGAGTTGGTAGGGTGGCTTTGTGTGCTAAGGTGTCCTATATGGTTCAGTGAGTCAGCCTCCCAGTTACCTGAGGTGGACAGTCTTGGTGTAGCCCTTTGTGGGATGGATGGGCAGTCTTGTTGTTAAGCCTTGCTTGTTGTTGGTATCACTAGGAAGCGTTGATCTCCAAGCCAATTGGCTATGAGGATCAGAAGTGTCTCAGCTAGGAGGGTTTCTGTAATCTGCTTGGATGGGCGGAGTCTCGGGGTGGCACAGACAAGCTTTGTTGAATCCCGCACAATTGGTTGTAGGCTCGTGCAGCACCTCTCCAACTGCGTACACTTTCAAGATGAAATCTTCTTGTTACTAAGTATTTCAGTTAATGTAATGAATAATTCTTCTTATTTATTGCTTACACTATCTTTTTATATTTACCTTTGGAAATCTAACCTCCCCCTTTTAATAGTTCATTTTGAGTCCTAATTTTTAAATACCAAAAATGCTACTGCATATATATTTTATTTTCTTTATCCTTTTTGTGGATAGTAGCAAAAATTATTTCCAGCATAAAACTCCTTGAAGAAAGTTTTTAAAAAGGAATGATTGTGCTATGAATTTTTCAAAATCAACCCAATTTTTCATACAACCAAAAGAATGTCTGTATATTTTAGAGAGCATAAAATATTTTTCCTAATTCATCTTTGAAATCATAAATAACAATGACATTATCAAATTAGGTCAGCTAGCCCTGGCCGGTGTGGTTCTGTGGTTGAAGCGACAGCCTGTGAACCAAAAGGTCTCAATTCCTGGTCAAGGGCCCATAACCAGTACCTGGGTGGCTGGTTGATCTGGGCACATTACAGAGGCAACCAATCAATCCCCCCGACTCCCCCTTCCCATTCCCTTTCCTCTCCTCCCTTCCACTCTTAAAAAAAAAAAAATCAATGGAAAAAATATCCTTGAATGAAGATTAACAGCAACACCAAAAAAAAAAAAAAAAAAAAATTAAGTCAGCTAGCAGGAAGCAATCGGATACATTTTACATTAGCATCAGTTTAGTTGGGGGACAGAGGGTGGAATGGAAAGCTACTTAATTTCATGAGTCAAGAGATGATATAATTCAATGTAATAAAAGATGACTTTTGTTTCTAACAATTTTCTCTTTAAAAAATAAGTAAAATTTTAAAAATCATCTCATTTCAATATATTTTTTTAAAACCCAACAGTTTGCCCTAAGACAAATTTATATAATTAAACACTTCAAAACATAATATGGCATCTGTTATTGTTTCACAGAAACATCAGCTACTTATATAGATCACTTTATTAAAATAATAGAAATTGTATGAAAATCAGCACAATACTTCATTTATTTATTGTATAAGTTTGGCAAAACAGCACAAAAATCCAGCAACATTTTGAACATGTAAAAAAGTCAAATGCTGAACAGTACTGGAGAATTTTTTTTACATAATTACTAATAATGAGCACATGTAAGATTCTGCAAAGCTAGCAAACTGGGGTGCTTGGCTTCTGAACATATACCACAAAAACACATCAAAAAACAATATAATTTACCTTTACAAAAATTACAGCCAAGCCATAGAAAAGAAGGATGCTAATAATGAAGATACAAACATACATGTGTACTACATACATCTCATACATTGAAACGCTACATACATCTTGTACCCTGAAATGCCATGTGTAGAGAGCCAAGCAGAGTAAATTCAGGCTCCTCACTGAGGTTAGGAATCATTTGAGAAGAATTTAATGCTTTTATGTAACATACACAATTCTATTATAGCAGTTCCTAGATCATAACAGCGTATTCCATTATATATCTGAGAAGTTGAGTCTTTTTGTTGGCAGTATAAAATTTCTGACCAGTATCAAAATTCTGATAAAACACAAATTAAAGGCATTTTCTAGTATATGCAAATATTATAGGGGGCATCAATGAATGTGAGAGAAAATCTTAGACTTCACACTAAGTTTCTGCTGAGCTTTGTCAAACCAAACAGCTCAACTATAAGGCAAGAAAAAATAACCCCCTACAACAGATTAGTGAGTCTTACCAAGTAAAGTTAGGAATCTAACCTTAGAGGAAAATTCTCTACATAAACAGATCTAAAATAGCTGGAATTGAAATGAACATCTAGAAATTACCCAACATCGTGACTCAGTCATTGGTTCAGAAGCCTGACAAACAATCTGTTGGTATATTTTATCAAATTAACTTTTTGGAATCAGCACCAATCCCCAAAACCTCAAATTATAATATTTAATCTTCATTAAAATACATCCTTTTGTGCTATATAAATACATCTACAATCAAATTAAAGACAGCTGAATTTAGTCAACTTATATATTTTTGTGTAGACTGGGTAGCAACTTAAATTATTATTTATTTACTTGTGCTTCTGTTTTGGGGCACTTTGATTGAAGAGAAATTCATTTCACAGGATTACATCTTGCTAAAGCATTCCTTAGCATTGGTCCAAACTTGAATTCCCTTAGAAACAAACACAAAAAGAACTTTAAACTGTGAATCTGAAAGGATCCTGAAAGCCCAAGTATGTAGCTTCCTGGTATGCTTTGTTTGCTTTTGTGAATAATTAACAAGTCCAGCAACTATGACACTTTCTGGTAATAGCTAACATACGTGAACGTCTAAAAAAGTAGGAAAATCATTTGTATGAGCCTCTCTTCAAAATGCAGGCAGAGCCGAAACCGGTTTGGCTCAATGGATAGAGCATCGGCTTGGGGACTGAAAGGTCCCGGGTTCGATTCCGGTCAAGGGCATGTACCTTGGTTGCGGGCATATCCCCAGTAGGGGATGTGCAAGAGGCAGCTGATCGATGACTCTCTCTCATCGATGTTTCTAACTCTCTATCTCTCTCCTGTCCTCTCTGTACAAAATCAATAAAACATATTAAAAAAAAAAAAATGCAGGCAGAACTCCAACTTTTTTTCCAAAACTTAGTTTTTAAGCATCAAAACATAAACTCATTTACTCATATCACATATTCTTAGCATTTCTACTTATAAACTAAACACATTTTCATTCAGTTTTTCTATGTAATATTTGAAAAAAAAAAGACAAAAACCTTATTAGTCTAACAATTAAATATAAATTAATGAATTATCAAATTATTACTCTAATAACTGTTTTGATAGAAATCAATTATATACTAAACTGGAGGCCCAGTGCGTGAATTCATGCACGGGAGGGGAGGGGTGTCCTCAGCCTGGTCAGTAATGGGGGCCGATCTGTGGGGGGGAGGGGCCGGAAAGGGGGCGGCCGGCCAGCCAGGGGAAGGGACCGTGGGAGGTTGGCTGTGGGAGCAAACTGACCACCAGGGGGCAGCTCCTGTGTCGGGCATCTGTCCCCTGGTAGTCAGTGTAAATCACAGCAACTGGTGGACAGGTTATTTGGTTGCTTAGGCTTTTATACATATAGATTACCAAATCCCTCAACGGTTCTGGCAAGCTGTGTAGCACAAAGCTAATCTATATATATGAAAGCCTAAGTGACCAGACAACAGGCCTGTAGCTATGATGTGCACTGACCATCGGGGGCAGACGCTCAACGCAGGAGCTTCCCCCTGGTGGTCAGTGAGCTCCCACAGTGGGAACACCACTCAGCTGACAGACAGTGCCAGACGCTGGGCTCACGGCTGGCGAGCACAGCTGCGTCAATGCGAGCCTCTCTCGCGGACACTCCTCCTCATGCCCGGGCAGCGGCAGCAGGCACAGTAGGGCCGGGATGAGTGGAAGCAATGTGGCAACTAGCCCAGGCTCAGGCTCTTCCCCAGCCGCCTGCCACTTCACACACTCCTTTGTGCTGTGTGGGATAACGCGGACACTGGGCTGGAGCCCAATGAGCTGGCAGATAAGGCTGGGCTGTGTGGCTCGGAGGTCCACTGATCCCCACAGGCCAGGCCGAGGGACCCCACCGGTGCATGAATCTGTGCACCAGGCCTCTAGTAGGATATATTATACCTAACATGCTTACATAAGAAGGTATGATTGTAGACATGTAACAGTAAAATCTAAAGTATTTTAAAAATAAACAAAATACATAGTCTCTAATAAACTACTAAATTATGAAGAATGAATCCTATACAATAAAAGTCTAATATGTTTAGTGTCTGACATTGTTTGACCAAGAATCCATGCACCGGGTATCTAGTAATTTAATATTTAAATGTTAAAATGTGTCTATATTTATCATAGTTTCAAATGATAGGAAAAAAACAAGAATCTTTTTAGTTTTTTTCTTTCTTGATAAGATACAAAAAGCAAACAAAAATTTTAAAAACACACAAAAACCCTTTAAAATGCTTCAGATTGGCTGGATAAAATAGTATTTAATAAACAAAGTATTTCTTGTTAGATGTCTCATGGATATCTTATTTTGACAGTGCTTTTCCCTGGTAGTCAGTGCATGCACTGTCAAAATAAAATATCCATGAGACATCAACTGGAAACACAAACATTGCACACTAGCACATATAATGCAATCTTGCTTTTGTAGGGAAGAGGAAAGTATGTATTTTCTAAATAACTGTATATATACAAAACACCTGGAAGAATGGATACACATGATGAGATTTCTAAAAGGAATTTGGGGCAGGAGGCTAAGATGCTTCTGGATTATTTGAAATTTTTCAATGAACATTTTGTTTTTATGACAATTTTAAAAATAAACCTGAAAATCGATCAAGTATTCTTTAAAAAGCCTCAGCCCCTTTGATTCAACAAATTAGAAAATTCACTATCAGAAAGGCTGACCAGTGGAGAGAACCAACATGGCAGCGTAGATAAATGCATGTACTCGCTGCTTCCCACACCTCATAAAAATTACAACTAAAATACAGCAGAACCACCATCATTCAGAATAGAAGTCGTATTAGGTCTAGTAATAATTAATGTTGTTTTCTAATACTTTTTTAAATCGAATTTATTTAAACAATACAACAAAATTTAATCAACAATATAGTTGCCGTTGTTTTCTACTACTTGTGCCCAACGCTCAGGAAGCATTTTAATCCCTCTGTTGTAAAATTCTTGTGATTTTGATGCAAAAAATTCGGTCAATGCATTTTTGAGGCATTCTTCATTATTAAATTTTTTTCCAAGAAGAAAGTTTTGCAAAGAACGAAACAAATGGTAATCGGAAGGGGCAATATCAGGAGAATATGCAGGTTGAGGGAGAACTTCTCATTCCAACTGGCGCAGTTTTTCAGCAGTGATTCTTGCAGTATGCGGTCGTGCGTTATCGTGGTGAAGAATTACGCCCTTCCGATTAATCAGCACGGGTTCTTTTTCTCTTAAAGCTTGGGCTAACCTTTCCAATTGGGCACTATACACTGCACTTGTATTAGTTTGGTTAGATGGTAAAAGTTCATAATGAAGAATTCCTTTAAAATTCCACCAAACACACAACATCACTTTTTTCGCATGCAAGTCAGGTTTTGGCGTGGGCTGCGGAGCCTCATTTTTGTCCAACCATTGAGGCCGCCTTTTCAAATTAACATACAGTACCCATTCTTCATCTCCGGTAACAATTTGCTCTAAAAACAGCAAACGGTTTTGACAAGAGAGGAGCGAACTGCAAATTGTGACTCTTTGATTACGGTTGTTGTCGGTCAACTCATGAGGAACCCATTTTCCAAACTTTTGGACTTTGCCAAGTGCACGCAATTGATTGGAAATTGTTTTTTGTGAACAATTTAAAGTTGTCGCAAGCTCTTGTTGGGTAATTTGAGGATTTTGCACCAAAAGAGTTTGA